ACATTCAAACCGTGGTTAAACGATATACCAAAATCAGAATTAATTCGAATCCATTATTGTTTTGTGTGTAACGAATTTAAAAAGATGAATATATTTATCACATCAGTTTACATTCACAAATTGAAACATTACTTACAAATGGATTCTTAAAATATTGGTTTTCAAAAAACAAAAAAATTTTGAATTTTGTTGCACTGAATCGTTTATTTACAAGCAGTAATTCTTATGCCCATTAAGTGAATATTAAATAGAAAAAACAAATTGAAAATAAAATATTGAAAAGTGGTATAACACAAGAAATACTCAATTTTAAAGTGTCTGTCATAAACGATGAATTACATCGTTTTACAAGAAACTTAAATATCATTTCTCCGACACTTATTAACATTGAAAAATATTCAAACGTACATATTTATTTCAATTACGAAAATAATGAATTATTTAAGTTTCAAGATACACAACATATGCAAGAAGTGCAAGAAGTGCAAATGCAAAATTCACAACATCCACAAACACGTTTACAAAAAATCAATGGGTCTTTAATGGAGTGTATCATTGATAACGACTGTGAAAATAATGATGATGTTTCATCTGAAAATTTAAATAACAATAAAGAAGTTGATACTATTTATTGGGATTCATCATCGTGTTGTGAAGAAGTTTCTGGTTTTGATAATTTAGTTGATGAAAACAATGAAAATATTGTTGTTGATGATATTAGTGAAGAAAGTGAAGAATATATTAAAGATAAAAGTTTCAATAAAGAATGTGAAGAAAAGATTGTTCAATATTTATGGGATTTAATATGTGAAAATAATGATGTTAAATTTGGAATAGATGATGTTATTGTATCGAAAATTAAAGAACAGGTTCAAACTCATTCAAAAGAAAGTAAAATTGATAAAATAGTCTTAAAAAAATACTTTGTTATATACTATGCATTTTATTTTAAACGAATATCACTATCTCGTTTTCAAATAGATAAATTACTTGAATTAATGAGAATACAAAATAAATATGGAGAAAGTTGGATTGTAATTGATGTATCTGCCAAAACTATTGAAAACAAAATGAAATTGATCGATTTTATTACAAAAAGTAAAATAAAAGAAATTGGAAGCAAAAAGGAAGATTTTGAACTTATTGCAGATGCTTCCACTTTAGATGGAGATTCGGTGTTTAGTCTATATATTCGTACATTAGACCAAAATTTAAAACCAAAAGAACGTAAATTAAAAATTGGAAGTTACTATGGTACCAAGACGGGAATGGCATGGGAAACTTGGATTAGAAAAGTACTGTTTCACTACAACCTTAGTATTGAACATTTAACTGGAATAACCGTTGATGGTGGTTCGGATATGACGATGCTTGGTATGAGATTACAATATTTAGTTTCTCAATATAAAAAAAGAAAAGCAGAAAGGTGTATATACAAATTAAAACAACAACTTAATGATGACATTTGTATCAATTCTTCAACAATTTCAGATGAAATTATTCAAAAACAAAATTTTATTGAATCTTTGAACACCAATGAAGGAAAGCAAAAGTCGTTCAATTATAACTACTGTTATAACCACCGAACATCAAAAGCATGTAATAAAATTTTCGAAAAAAATGAGGGATTGATTATCAACCAATTTATTAAAGACATTTCAACGCAATATTGGAGAGGACTTTGGAATGATTACAGGGTTAACCATCAAATAAACGATGAAACATTGTCAAATAGGTATTACGCATCAACACGTTTTGGATACAATGAATTAATTCTATCATTCATTTTCGAACACTTTGATACATTTAAACAATTTTTAAATGAAAAGAAATATCACTTTGAACAACCAAAAGTTGAAAGAAATCTACTTGGAGAAATTACACTTGAAAATCCTTTGTTTGTATCCGTACTTTTCTTTTGTGATTATATACTCTCAGAACTCAAAAATATTATGGATTGGCTACAAAGTCCAAATAGATTACTGTGTGAAAGTTACTGCAGAATTTGGAATTACATACGATATTTGTTCGATTTACGAGATAAAGTGAAAAACATTAACAATTCCTTTTTCCAGTCATTACCATTTGTTCTAGAAAATGAATCTTCTGATATTGAAAGAGCTCGAATAGTTTGTGAAGGTTTACTAACCAGGCTCATTCAGACTTTTGTTTTTCGATTTGCACATCCTTTGAAAAAATGCACTCGAAAAGAAATTGGAGGGAATAACGGTGTAAAAGAATGTGATTTCATAATAAACTATTTTAGTGAGTTTATTGAATTGTATGAAAAGGTTACACCAGACTTTTTGAAAACACAAATGAGTGTTTGTTTGTTACCTTCTAATGAAATTGGGTTAGTATCACATTTGAACGACCTGGATATTTCAAGAGAATGTGAACAATTGACGATATGGAAATCTACTCATGTGGATATTGTAAATTTTTTAAACATGAAAGAAAATGATCAAAGTTGGAAGAGCAAAGATATTAAATGTTCAACAAAATTTAAAAATGCTTTTAAATTGAACCCAAGAAGAAGTGGACATTTTAGAACCGATTACAACCGATTTTTGTATGATGAAGATTTGATTAAAATTCGATGTCTTGAAGATATACAATTGGAAATATTAGTACAACGTTACAACTATAGATTGTGGACAGATGAACACATTTCCCAATTTATGTGTATTTGTTCAATTCCAAAAATAACTACCCAAAATTTATTTGAATTAATGGATGAAAACGACAGAATTTTATTCCCGGTATTAACAGAAAATATAAGATTAACCAACTTGATTGCAGTCACAAGTTGTTCCGTTGAAAGATCTTTTTCGGTGTTAAAAAGAATGAAACATTGCAACACAAAAACAAAAACAGTAGAATCTGGAGTATCTGTTCAAGAATTATTTATTATTAATTAAATTGTCATTTTGTTGTAAAATATATATATATAATTTCTGATTATTTTGGGGTATTTTGATTTTATTTTTTTTAATAATTAAAAGAAAAAGAGTAAAACCAGCCCACCCATCTCCATGAATGGGTAGGGGTATGGGCTTTTGGAATGATTAAGGAATCAACAGACATCCTTTTTCTTAACCTCACCCTTAAGTTAACAAACTTTTTTTAATAAAACAATTATGAACAACTAAAATTAATATTATGGGTATATTTTTTAAAGTATATTATAACTTATTAAAAAATAAACTAAATCGTTGATACAATACATAAATTAAATAACCTATTTTCAACAATGGGTTATTTGATACATTCAACAACAAATTGTTATTAAGCAATACATGACAGATAATTTTGAATTTGGGTAAATTTTAAGTGTGTGATACTTTAGTGATATTATTAAAAAATATAAAAGTGGGTTGTATCACCCTAACAAAATATCCAAATTTAAATGATAATATATACTATGTAAAGTACACTCGAACCTTTCAAGAGTGAGTGAGTGAGTGAGTGGGAATGATAACTTCTGTTCTCTAAAGAGCAAACATTTTTAGTCTTAAACCAAACAACAACAGTTTTAAAACGCGGTTTTTGCGGTTTGATTGACAAAAAACGCCGATTCTTAAAAACTTGCTTTCCAAATGTATTGCTTTCGATTGGTATGATTTTACATAAACAAAATATCCTTTTGATAAGTAAACGTTGTGCAAAAATACACATTTAATTATGTTATAATGTATATGTCAAATGTATCGTTGAAATTTTTAAATTTTAAAATTAATTATTTTTTATTATATTTCGATTGTATTGAAGATACAATTTGAAAAGTGAAATGTATTATTTAATGACCCTATTCAAACAATACATCACATCAAAACACTTAGATCTTGTGTCGTTTTTTATAGTATCGATGTTATAATAAGCAATTGTTGTAAATACTCTCATTCTAATATACAAAACAAAAAATGAATAATAAACATACTTAGCAATAGTTTAAACATAATTATTATATATATAATAACTAAATTGTTGTTTACAAATACAAATCAGATTTCGGTACTATTCCTTCATATTGTAAAAACATGTTTTAATTTTGAACTAAGTGACTTTTTATTCAAATATCCAAATGTTATGAAACGATGAATAAATGAAAATGTTTTAACACATCGTTCGTCTGTTGATCAAGCATTTGAACATGTTGTTTATTTATTAATATTGTCGAATGAAAACTTAATTAACAATAAGTGTGTATTGTTTTAATCAAGGGTTATTATTTACTAACAAATAAATTATATATTTTTATTAGTTAACAATAAATGTTTGATAGAGATTAATAATCAAACACTTATTATTATAATTAAATTATTAAAATAAACTATTATTATAAAATATAATAGTATCTTATAATAATAAATTATTTTGATTTAAACATTAGTTAATTGTATAATATATTTTAACTAAAAAAAATAAACAATATATATTATAATTTATTAAATTAAAAAATTATTTATTTTTAGAAAAAAATATTAATTTAAATTTTTTAACTTGTTATTTCGGGTTGTTTTTTAACATAAATATCAAAAATAAAAAAAAAGTTTCATAATTAATTATTTTAAATAACCTATACTTAATAGTAAAATTAATACTATACCAATACAGACTTTTTTATTTTTATTTATTATGTTATATTAGGTTGTTTTTTAAGAAAAAAAAAACGGGCAAAGTTTTTTCGATGGTAAAAAAGAAGAAGAATTTGCCAAAGAAAAAAAATACCAGGTAAATTTTCCAACCATGTTTAAGGTTAGTTTCATGTAGTTTTTATATTGTATTTTAATTATGAGAACATTCTTAATTAACCAAAAAACTGAGACTGAACCTTTTTTCATTCAACAGCTTTTCAAAGAAGAAAAAAGAAAATGGGTGCGGGTTTTTCTTAGGTGTGGGTTTCTCGCCTCACTTTACTTAATTCAATAATATTAACTTATATTATTATTATTTTAAATTGACGCGGTAAATACTCATCAAATTACATAATAATACATTTAAGTAATCTCTGTTCCCAGGAGGTGAGTGGGGGATGGGGCTGCCTTTAAACCCCCCTTTCGCACGTAACTACTAGTACAAGAGTAATCAACTAACTCAACTTCGCTAAAATTATTCGACTTTTTCTATTTTTTATCGTTATTATTTAACAAATTATAAAATAACTAAATTATCTCATTCGCTACGATGAACTACAGTGTTTGATGGAAAACATCCATTATCAATATATCTTACATTGGATGGTATTGTAATACTGCTTAGACTACTGCATCCACCGAAACAATATTCACCAATCGATGTCACACTCGATGGTATTGTAACACTGCTCAAACTATTGCATCCACCAAAACAGTATTCACCAATATATTTCACACTTAATGGTATGTTAACATTGGTTAAATTACTGCATCCACTGAAACAACAAACACTAATTGATGTTACACTCAATGGTGTTGTAATACTACTTAAATTACTACATTCACTGAAACATCCATAACCAATTGATGTCACACTTGATGGTATTGTAACACTAGTCAGACTACTGCATTCACAGAAACAATAATTACCAATATATTTCACACTTAATGGTATGTTCATACTGCTCAAACTACCACATTCACTAAAACAACAATCACCAATTGATGTTACATTGGATGGTATTGTAATACTGCTTAGACCACTGCATCCACAGAAACAACAATCACCAATTGATGTTACACTCGATGGTGTGTTATTACCAAATTTCTCTCTATCATTTTAAGTGTAAGTAACATTTTTAAACTCGATGTTTCTAAATTTGTTTCTGTCAACGGTTTTAAAATTTACACTGAACCACACAATTATTCGAAAGAATTCTTTCTTTAAAACAACCTTTATTTTCACAATTTCCATTTTCTCTGTGTTTATCATAAATCCATTCCCAAAATTCTCATCCTTTTTATTCCACAAGTGAAGTGTCTCGATGTTTGGGAAGTATCCAAGTGTTTTGGAATTTAACGGAATTGGGTTGAAGTGAAACTTCTCCATATTGCCACTAAACTTCTTGCACACCAACTCCAAGTTAATAAAGTCTATGATAGTTTCGAGGAACTTCGAGACTATCATGATGTGATAACCAGAAAGTCCACACATTTTAATATTCACAGTTTTTCAGTCTTTGAATATTTAAAAAATTCGTATGTGCATACAATTTTAACGAATTTTCAAATAATAAATAATTCACTGTTTCAAGCTAAAGTCTGTTTTCTATTTAACGATATTGGGTTTTTACTATTATTTATAATAACAGTATTATAATTTATAATAAAAATAAAGTGGTTTTTCTAAAAAATGGTGTATATTATTTTATTTGTTTTTTTTATAAATATGTGTTAAAAATAACAAAAAACAAAAAATGGCTTGACAACTGAAAAATTAATAAAGTCAAAACGAAGAATAGGTTGGTCTTGAAATGTGATACGATGAAATAAACTATGTCAACCAGGTTATTTAAAATGAATATGTTGTCATATTTGATAGAACAGACGCGTCAAATTATCATTTGGGTCAAATTGAAAACGACAACAAGTGATTTGGAAAAAAGTCAATGCTCAGGATTTGTTAATCATTAGTTTTAATTAATGACAATTTTATTAATAGTTAATGGTTTTTAATTAGCGATATTGGGTATAGTAAATAATGGTTTAATATTTTCGGTCTAGTTCTTCTCTTTGTTATATTTTTAGAATATCGCTAAATAGAAAACAGACTTTATAATGAAATATTGGAAAATACTAATTAAAAAAGTAAATTAATTTAATAAATTAAATACACTATTTTATTTTTAAAAATTATTTAAAAAACATCACAAAGAATATTTTTATAAATGTGGTTGTTTTGAAAAATATATTGTTAAACTGTTGTTCTTTATCTTGAATATTTAATTAAATATTACTATTCAACAAATAAATAATAAATTCAAACATAACCACATTAAATTTGTTTTATTGTCAAATAAAAATAGTCTTCCTACCATCGATTGTTGAACCTGGTTTTGGTTAAACAGTTGTTGTTGAATAAATTATGTGGATTTAAGGGACACCCATTTTAAACTATATTTTATCATAATTTAACTAAATGCTAAGACGCGTAGCATGAATTTAATTTTGGATCAATATTTATAGTAAATTCATATTAAAGGGGTGGAAAAACCGCTTCAGGTAAAAACCACTTTTGATAATTTTTGGTGAATAATTGTAAAATGTTTTCGAAATGTTATTTGATTTTATTTTTTTTTATTTAAACAAAAAGAAAAAAAATATCATTTCCATTTTGTCTGAGCATTTTTTTCGAAGTATTTAGAAGAAGGCTGTTAAAGTCTATTTATATAACGGTGAAAAGCTGAGTTATTACAGAATTTATTTGAAAGAAAACGGGAAACAGCTTACAATCGTAAGACATATAACCAAATATACATAAATTTTTAATTAAATTTTATTATAATATATTAGTGTAGTAAACACAGTGTTTGTTAGTTTTATATCGTTTGAATTAACAAACCAAATTATCATCTTTGCAGTCTGCATCATCATCTTCCTTATCTTCAGAGTAATTTAAATTAAGTCTTTTTGTCATTGTTGTTTTTGTGCTTTATTTTGTCTTCATAAACACATGAGTTTAAGTCTAAGTCGTCACTGTCGTGGTTTTGATGTTGTTAAACATAATAAACAAACTGTTTGACCTTGCAATAAACGAGATAATTTTATATTGTCGCTTTTGAAGATCACCTTATAAACCCTTATAATTGGTAAAAAAGAACTTACATTTTTTAAGATCATGTTTGCGATAAAACAATACCAACTAGGTAAATTTTGATTATTAGTAAAGTTAGTGCATAATATAATTATTTTGCTTGGATATTTTTAAATGAAAAATAATTCTGTTTTTAAATGTTTAATCTATTGTCAATCTATGATTTATATTATAATTAATGACATTGCGAAAGATAAAAATGGAATTGTATTAAATAATATATTAACTATTTATTATATTAATTTAACCATTTCTGGACCTATAATTACTAATAAAATTAATAAATTTACTATTAAATAATTATATAAACCATAATTATCATTTTACTTATGCTCAAATCCGAACAGAATGATCATGAATTGATCCATTTGACACAACGTATCGAAGCCGTGGTTGTCGTTGTGTGTCTCTTTTGAACTATACAAGTGTTGAGTAGTTTTCATTACTTTTCAGACCCACCATTTGATCAATTTTTGAAACAAGTTATAGTATAAATTATAATAAATTTATTAATGATTTTGGTTCATTTATTTTTCTTTATAAAAGTGTGTGCTGAAATCCCAAAATGTTACATATATTTACTGTAATAAAATGAACAATATAGTCCTTCAAATAGTAAGAAAGTTGTTGATAATCATTTTTTATAATTAGTGGATAAAGGTATGAGAACCCCTCTAAAATAAATAACACATCAACTTTTACTTTGGCACTATGTCTTCTTAATAACGTATTTGCCTGATAACAGTCATTGTCTCCATAATATTTTCAACATTTTTTATTGAAATGCACTTTTGGGCAAGCATTTTGGCTGGCGAGAAAACCCGCTTCACTACCATTTACTTGTTTTATTGTATAGAAAAATAACGTTTTTGGCATTTTGCCGAGTTTTAAAATAAAAAATAATACGGTGGCGAAAAACCGCTTTAGATTTTTTTGTTTTTTCGTAACCAAATTCTTATTGTTTTATTATAAAAACTTATCCAATAACCAAATATTGCCTTTTTAAATTGTGAAAAAATTGTGTGTTTTTTCTAGGCATACAAATATTTTTAACCAAATGTATTGAATAACATACAAAAACACGAAATAAACTTGAATTTATTCACCATACAGAAATGATTGCCGCACTTTCGGATCGTCCACAGTATCCTCCCAGTCTTTTTTAACATTTCTCTGCATGGCGGGAAAAACCGGTTTACTACCATTTAGTGATAAAATTCCACATAATTATAACCAAAGTTTCAATTTACTACAAATAATTGAGGTTTTGGTGGAAAAAAGCAAAAAAACACGAGAAATTATAACGGACATGTGCAGCGCCCTTTTACCGCTTCTGATAATTTACACAAAATTATCCGTCTTACATTGTTTTCATTGACCAATATTAATAAATTGCTTCGTTTATTTTATAAAAAGTTTCAAAAAAGCAAGTACAACGAAATAACCACTCATTTATTGCTTGCTTGACAGGCACTTGAAAAACCGCTGGGAATGGATGCACTCACGTTCAGTTGGTGAGTAAGTCCAAAGTGCGTTTTTTCAGTTTGGCTTTAAAATGCATTTATGAGGGAATGAGGAATCCAACAAGAGGGGGTGTGGAATAAAGGTGCAGTCTGTCTTTGCAGAGAGACATTGAAAAGTGGTTTATCAAAAACGTGTGCTGACCCATATATTTACAATGTTGCTCGAGAGGTAATCGATTTGACTGTTGAGTATTTGTTTAATGGATGATTAAAAAACGAAAAAAAATAATAAAGAAGTGAAAAGGGGTGTGAAAAAAGGTACACCCGCGGGTTAGTGTTTTTGAGTTTTTTATTTCTGCAAAAAATTGAAAAAGTATTTAATATAAAGTTCATTTTATTTGATAAATTCTGAGTTGTTTTTTGGTTATTTTGGCTTCCAAGAACAGTTTCGGAGTCAATCTTTCTTGCTCCTCCTTTTATCATTCAGCAAATCCAGCCTTTACTTTACAAAAAATAATTCACAAATTTCAATAACAAACATCGGCATCTTGAAAAAGTAATAGAGACTTTTGTAAACCTTGTTTTTTTGAATCAAATCGAGGAAAAGGAAAAAAATAAACTATACAAAAAACTATAATCATATTATCATTTTACTATTAAATTATCAAAAGCGGTTTTTTCCA